CCAGTCTCCGCAGGCTCAGGCGGACAGCCATGTCTTGTTATGCAGCTGTTCCATTTCCTTTCCATTTTGAGATGATGGATTGAACAGATGTAAGGAATGCGTTCCCTTATCAAATCTATCCTCCAGCATCAAGAAGCTGATCACAGACTTGAATGTCTCATCTAGGCTGAGTTTTAAGTTGAGTTTAGACGGTTGCATTTTTTGAGACAGTGTAGTGTTGTAGAAGTGGAAATAAGAGGAGCTGAACCTGGAAGTTACAGATCTAGCACCCCTTGTGGCTAAAAGTTAAAGTGTTTCCTTTAAGTGATTTCTGAGATACATACTTTTCAGATTTCCCAATAAAAGACGCTGGATGTGGTAAAGTGGAAGATTAAAAATATAATAGTCTAGAGATGTGAATAATTTTCAAGGCACTGTATTTTCAAACATGGTATAATGAAGAAAAGTCAAGGAAATGGAATAAAAAGGAAATCTTCAAAACATGCAATAAAACTTAAGCAAAAAATTATGAGATTATTTAACTATAATAAAATACGGATTTAATTTAGAGCTTTGGTGCACAAATTTACTATATGACATGAATTTCAACAATCACACATCAGGAGTTCAAATTTAAACAATAGCATTTAATGACAGAAAAAAAATCCAGCTGCTTTTTACACAATTCCCTTGTCATGATGTGTTTAAAAACATTTGTTCATATGCAACTCAAATAAACAAGATACTAGATCAATTCAAATTTTGGCTTTTATTGCTTTCCGTAAATACCATCACACAAGCCCAAGCCTTCAGATTCCAGCAGTCAGTTTTACAAAGTATGTGGACACATATTACAAGTCTACAAAAGCTTATTTACAGAGTGTACTGTAAGAAAGCACTGTAAAAATCTATCAAAAAAGGGACAGCTGTACAATGATGTTATGACACACAGAAGGTAAAGTACCTTTTGATTTACTGAAGTGATTAAACTGGAAATGGCAAAGCAAGGTTTGACCTAACAAAAGCG